GAGTCTATCGCACCCCACAGTTTTTATATAAGATTGGCTTCAGGACAGATGCACCTTGCCCTATGTGTGGTCAAGTGCAGGGCTCCTTGTTACACTTACTTTGGAGGTGTCCTAAATTGGTGCATTATTGGAGAGATGTGGTGCCAATCATGAGTATGGTATTTTCCACTATTATAGAATCTGATAATATAGACTTGAATATGGCTACCGCGGTGACTAAGGCATTGTTTGCTGCAAGACAGGTCTTGGTGATGAATTGGATGTCTTTAGCCTTTCCGGTAGTAAGGGAGTGGTATCGGGATTTAGATTATATTTTAAAAAATTGGCTTATCAGCACAAAGGGAAAGAATCTAAATTTTACATGATTTGGGGTAAGTGGTGGCTTGGGGGCCCGTTAGGAGTACATACGTGTCGTGAATGTCTTATTAGAAGGATCCCTTCCCTATATATTTATGTTTAACTTTTTTGCCTAGGGGGGTGTTTGTTTTTTTCCCCCTCCTCTCTCTTCTTTCTCTCCATCCTTTTCTCGGTTCCGTGGGTTGGATAAAGAATAAAAAGTATACGAACTGGGGGAGAGGGGAGCGAGTGGAAGGGGAGGAGTGTTTGTGTTGACCTCTTGGGATTTTTGGGCATTTATACTATGAATACTTATTGATGTATAGGTTATACAAAGTTTTTGTGTTTTGAATTTGTATTACTTATATGGATTATCTCCTTGGGAGATTTATGCATGTTTAAAATATTACCAATAATGTTTTTTCTTCTTAGTGATTAACTAGTTCACTTTATCACATATTTTTGGCTTCTGTGTATTCTATGAGTAATTATGTATTTCTAGGAGGATTGTTAATTATTGATGAGTCGCGATACTTTGTTAGAAGGATTAGCACATTGTATGGTGTAATTGGTATGTATTTGATATATATTTATAGTCTTATCATGCACTAATTGTTGTTGAATTATATGTAATTATTAAAATGATTAATCATGCACTTTTAGTAGGGAACGATATTGGTGATATACAGGTGAAACTCGAATAATTAGAATATCGTGCAAAAGTTCATTTATTTCACTAATGACATTCTCCTTCCCCCACCTTTTTTTTGTGTGTGTGTTTTCTTATGGTTTGTGTGGACCTTAATGGGTTGTTTTGTATTTTTCCATGTTGTCTGCTTTAGAAAAAAAATATATATGATTGTGGTTGTTTGAAATAAAAAAGAACTTAATAAATATTATCTGATAAAAAAAAATCAAGAACACTGGGACATGACCTCAAACCAGCAGAAGTAATGTTCAAATCTAACCTTAGAAAGTTTTTTTTTGTACTGAAAGAGTAGTTGATGTTTGGAACAGACTTCCAGCAGAGTTAGTGAGCCAGTCAACAGTAACATGCTTGGGACAAACACAGATCAATACTTACACAAGGTTAACAAAAGAGGAAAAAAAGCAAACCAGCCCTAAAAAGCAAAAAGGGGCAGACCCGATGGGCCACTTTTTTTTTCCTGCCGTCATTCTTCTATGTTTCTGTCTTTGTTTATTAAATAAAAAATGGAATTTCGGCATTGTTTTTTCACAGTTACTGTGTTACTCTGTTAACATTTTTACATGCAGACGCCATAAAGGAATAAAACCATATAAAATGTACACAGCTATAGTTGAATGCGCTCTACAGCCCGTTACAGGAATACATTCTTATGAGATTTTGAGTTTCCAGCTATCCTGGGAGGCATTGGTGAGGCACACTTTTGTCACCTCCTTGAATTGCCCGAAGCCAAGGTCAGGGTATTTTTATTTTAAAAACATGAAAAAACAAGGCGATAATGGGGCTTTAAAAGTGTCTAATGATGAATGTGGGATAACGTGGCTTAGCTTGGTAACGAGACATGATGACTGGTCATAAATAATAGTATAATAAAGAATTTTATTTACATGATCTCAATATGCTTAAAAACATTTCATTGGTCTAAAAAGTTACAAACAGTGGATAATAAATAATTACATATACCTCCCTGGACTTAGTGCAATTACATGGTGTATATAAGGGGTGTGGTGTCACAGTTCCGATGGGTGTTCTGGGAGATACCTACTTGTTTTATTTATTTTAAAAACTTTATTTTAACAGCTTCAACTCCTCTTCCTTTATGCTCGGTGCTCCACAACCAGTTGCCATTTTGACTCCTCTATTTCCAGCCCCAACCATTTTGCCTCCTCTGTTTCCTTCATGGTCCGTGACTTGCCACCATTTTGCCTGTACTCTCAGTGGTCTAAGACCAGCTGCCTTTCTGTCATCTATAGCTTCCCGCCTTCCTTCCCAGACCCACGATCAGCCAGACC